AACATATATAAAAATTAACTCAAAATGGATCACAGAACTAAATATAAAAGCCAAAACTATAAAGCTCTTGGAAAAAATACAGGAGGAAATATCCATAACGTTGGGTTAGGCAAAGATTTCTGAGATATGACACCAAAAGGACAATTAATAAAACAATTGATAAATTAAACTTCATCAAAATTACAACTGTTTGCACTTCAAAGACACCAATTAAGAAAATGAAAAGACAAGCCATACACTGGGAGAAATATTTGCAATGTGTAATATGATAAAGGACTTGTATCCAGCATAAAGAAATCTTATAACCCAATAGTAAAAAGACAACCCTAGGAAAAGTGGGCAAAGATGTGAATACACATTTCACCAAAGAAAATATATGGATGGCAAATAAGCCCATGAAAAGATGTTCAACATTAGATACTTGGGAAATGTAAATTCAAACCACAATGAAATACCATATCACACCCACTAGAATGGCTATAATCAAAAAGATAAACAATAACAAGTGTTGGTGAGGATATGGAGAAAATGGAACCCTCATGTATTGCCAGTGGGAATGTAAAATGGTTGAGCCACTTTAGAAAACAGTTTGACAGTGTCTTAAAAAGTTAAACCTAACAACTCACCAAATTCATAAACAGAATGACCCAGCAATTCTACTCTTAGGTATCTATCCAAGAAAAAAGAAAATATATGTACACACACACACACACACACACACACAAAGCTTGTATACAAATGTTCACAGCAACATTTTTCATAACAGTGAAGAACTGGGAACAATTCAAATGTCTATCAACTAGTGAGTGGGTAAACAAATGCAAAGTACAGCCAGGCAATAAAAAGGAGCGAAGTACTGATATATGCTACATCAACAAGCCAACACCAAAAACATTATGGTAAGTGAAAGAAGCCAGACGTAAAAGATGTGAGTGCATTTATATGAAATGTCCAGAAAAACCAAATGCATAGCAACAGAAGGATTAGTGGTTACCTGGGGCTGGGTGTGGGAGTGGGGAGTGACTGCAAATAGGCACAAAGGATCTTTTTAGGTCTTGTGAATAAGTGTTCTAAAATCTGATTGTGGTGACAGTTGCTCAACTCCATAAATGTGCTAAAAATCATTCAAATGGGTGAACTTTACACGTAAAAGACATCTCAAAAATGCTATTAAAAAAAAAGAAAAGAAAACCACCATCATCAGGTAAAATCTTTCCGAAGCACCACTCCTGATTATAGACCTACAATGTTACCTCCAACGAAACCTGTAGACAGCCCTCCCTGGCATTCAGGTCCCATCACCTGTCTAGGCCCAACGCCTGGCCAACTTTCTTCAACATCCCAACCCGTGTGTGGCTGCTACACACATGGCCTGTGGAGCCGGCATGTCTGAGCCTCCAGCACTACCACTAACTAGCTGTGACCTTGGGTTACTTCACCTTCTAGAACCTGTGTCATGTCTGAGATGGGGAGAACAGCTCACAAGGTAGGCAAGTGGAATGTCTGAGCTAGTGCTCAGAAAACACAGCGCACGCTTCTCAGGGCTGGCTCGGGCGCATCTTCAGTGTCCGCTCCTCAGGGTGGCATCCCACCTCAAGCAGGGAGCCCCGTTACTTTGCACACTTTTGTTTCCCTCACAACACTTGCAGTTTTTGTGTGCCTCTTTTTTCTTTCTTTTGGTCTGTTCCTGCTATTGGGCTGAGGTGTCCATGAGGGCAAGGACCCTGTGCTTCGTCCCTTATAGTCTCTGCAAGGCCAGGCCCAGCGCCTGGCAAGTCACCCGTTCACAGGAAGCATTTACTGAGGTGCTGGATGATAAATTGTGGCTACAGGTGCAGTGCTCAGGCATATGGCTTCTCTGGGAACGGCATGTTTGGGGGCTGTTTCTTGTGCATCTTACTACATCCTCCTTGGTCCTCCCATGAGCAGGGGTCCAGATTTGCCTCATGGAAGCAATGGATAATGGTAAACTTGATGTAGCCCTGAGAGTGTAATGAGCCTGGGGACACAGGTATCATGCAGCAGGCCAGGTGACTTGGGAAGAATGGCAGGCAGCTGAGCAGTTGGAAGGGGAAAAGGCTGGAGAACAGGGAGCCTGCATGTTGAAAAGCAACCAACTTCATCTGAACTACCAAGTATGGCTGCTTCCATGAGGCAGAGAAGAGGAAAAGTGGGCACACACAAGACATTATTGCCATGTGTGTGCCTTCTCTCATTGGAGGATGAGGTTAAATATACTGGATAAAATGAAATCTTTATGTATTTCACACATGCTTGCTCTGAAAACTGGAGTTGAATATAATTGCAGTGTTTTGCATTAATTAAATTTCTTTTACCTTCCATGGAATTAGGGCTTGAACTCAATATGTAAATTTATGCAAATAAGTGTGCAAAGTAGCAAGGCCCTAGCATTGAATCTTAAGGGAATTATCGCACTTTCCAAGATCAGGGCCTGGGGATTAAATACGAGTGGTCTTTAAGAATATTTAACTTTCTCTGAAGGACCTGGGGCAGATAGTCTTCTTTGGCATCTACCTTCTACTAAAGTAACTTCTCACTTGCTTCATCCAATGATATTCTCCACTGATTTTTACTTGCCAGCTTAAGAACAAGGTGTACTCCTCAACCCTCAAGTAACTCTGCTAGTAGAAAAAGCCCCTACACCAAAACACTTCGTTGCTATCACCTCCTTGCTCAAATCTCCCTCTCCCAAACCAGGCACACAAGTGGAAGGAAGGAAGGACAGGAGGGGGGAGGGAGGGAGAAAGGAAGGAAAGAAAGAAGGGGCTCTTATAGTAGGGGGCCATGCACCCCACTGTGTGCCTCTGGGCAAGTCATTCTCTCTGATGAGTTTGCCCAGCATTCAGAGTCACCAAAGCTCCCTCTAGTTTCAACAGTCTCTGGGAGAACTAAGTGAGGTCCCAGTACCCTGTAAGAACAGGTAGAAGCTTTGACACACAATTTTTAGGCTGCTTTGCATATCACTGCAGGAGGAAGCTTGGAGTAGCAAGAAAAGGCCTTTTCTTGCACCCAAAAGATCTGGGCTAAAATCCCATCAGTCACTCGGGTAGGTTAACACCCTGGACAAATTCTTTAACAGCTCTAAGCCTGACTCTCCATCTTTAAAGAGAACTTATACTTTGCAGAATTGTTAAGGGATCTAGAAATAAAATATACTAGTCTGATATACCTCCAAATATGATGATCTTCTGTCAACTTAGAGGAACTCATCTTCAAAGGGACTCCCTTGAACCACAGAAGACCCTGAATGACCTAACTTTCCAACATTCCCAAACACTGGATACCAGGTGACAAAGGTGAGAGAGCACCCAAACAGAGCCAAGGGTGCTCTTCCAAATTCCATTCAGGCTCCTGCTCTCAACCTTCAAACATGAGCCATCTCCTCCCCATTTTGTCTTCCCTCGAGCCAGGTCAAGACTAGATAACATCAAGCAAGCACCAAATGGGCTAAGTACTATGCTAGACTAAGAATAGAGGCCACCACAAAACACTACCATTTCTAAACACTTCCACACTCATCTTCATCTTATCCTAGGCTTATTACACCCTCCCCCAACTTTTTTTTAGATGTGGTCGTTGAGACTCAAAAGATAAGTTGTTCTCTCAAGGCCACCCAGCTAATGAACATCTGCCCAGAAGTCAGACCTCCTGATGTCTTTTTCTGATCTACTCCCTAATAACACCTACACTCAGTTCTGTGCATTTTATTTCAACTTGGCCGCTGTTTCACTGGGTTCATCCATTTAACCACTCAACAATCATTTATAAACCACCATGTGCCATGCACGGGTGTATGACGTGCAGCACTCAATGAACAGGCCCTGGAGTTGGCCTACTTCAATCCCAGCTCTCCCACTTGTTACCTAGGTGACCTTGGATAGACACCTCTCAGTGTCTAACTTGTCCTTACTCTACAAAATGGGCAAATAACACTCTACCTCTCTCACTGGGCTGCTGAAAAGTAAATGAGAGGTTGCCTGTAAAGGATTCAGTGGAACCCATGGTCCACACTAAGCCCTCAAATGTGAGCCGCTTTTATTCTTCTTCTAGGTTCTGGGGATAGAGTCTTGAATCAGACAAGAGCCTTAGTCTCAAGGAGCTTACACTGTGGTGGGAAACACAATAAACAAGTAAATTATCAATAAAAGTTTCCAATGGTGATGCCTACTATGAAAAAAATCTGTGACAGTGGGGGTGGGAAGCTACTTTAGATTGAGTGGTCACCGAAAGATACTCAGGTGATACTCAAATTGTAACAAGAGCCAGATCTAAGAAAAGCTAGGTAAGAGAAAACAGTAAATGCAGAGGGAGGTCCTGTGCTTGGAGCAAACCAACATCTTGTAGTCGTGAGGCTAGTGAACAGATGGGAGGTGGGAGGGAGGGAATTGGCGTGAGATGTGGTCACACAGGGCAGCAGCACCATCTTGTAAAACAAGGTAATGTGGTTCCTCTTCATCTTAAATGCGCTAGGCATCCACTGGAGGGTTTTTAGCAAGGGGAAGGGCATATGATCTGATTCACAACTTTTTAACTGCTCCTTTGGCTGCGGTGTTGAGAAGAGAGCCTCAGTTAAGAGGCTGTTGCGTTGTCCAGGACTGGTAGCATTCTCATGTACACAGAACAAGCAGCGTGCACCGGGGTGCAGGGCAACATATTCAGGTCTACAACGAGTCAACGGGAGCTGGAATGCGGCCTCCCCACCTCTCCCGTCCCAACTCTTTTCTCCCCCGATGCCAGGGTAGTGAAGCCTGAAGACGGCCACTCCAGGATGGCGGACCCTGGGCAGCCCCCGAGCCTCGGGTCCCTCACGTACACGGCGGAGGGAGAGACGCTCGCCACCCGGGCGTTGGAAGGGCTCAACGAGCTAGGCGCGCCCGTCCGCTCTCGGGCCCGAACCTCCCCTCAGGCCGGCCCGCGCCCTCCACGCCCACCCGGCCCAGGCCGCGCTAGCTCATCGCGCCCGCCGGCGGCCCGCTCACCCGGATGCCCTGCAGCACCCGGACCCGCTCCTCCTCGTCCATTCCGAAGGACACCCTGCGGGCCTCGCTGCTCTCGGTGCTCCCCATGGCAGGAGGCGAGCGGGCAGACGGCCACGCGACCCGGCTCCAGAGCAACCGGCCAAACGCCGGGTTGAGGCTCCCTGTGCGCCCCGCGCTTCCCGGGACTCGGGCGGCTGCGGCACAAGCCAACAAAGCCACGTCCTATTGGCCGCTGCTGGAGGTTCAACCAATAATGTGGCGCCTGCCCGCGGGGCACTGTGGGGGTTGTAGTGTAGACGGCCCGGGCTGCCCATCTGTAACTAGGGATCACGCGGAGGCGTGGTGCCTGAACGGTGGACAGCGTGTTGGAGTGGAGCAGCGAGTGGAAAGATCGCCCTTGAAGCAGAGCCAAGGGTGATGTTCCTTAAGGCCAGAAGCCCACCGAGGAGGTTGAGCCAAGCATGTGAGGGCGATCTTTGCATGGTTTGCTGCTTGGTTCATTCAGCAAACTCCTGTTGAGCGGCACTCACCAAGCACTGAGCAACATAGAACTAGCTGCGGGGAATGCAAGGACAAAGAAGACCTGCCCTGCCGTAGTGAGATTTAGATATAATGGAAGGAACAAATGAAAAGGCAAACAAGCAAGCACATAAATAAGCTTACTAACCACTGTGATAAGTGCCAAAAATGGAAAACCACATCACAATGCCTCGAGAGAAACTAATAGGAGGGGGCCTCCTTTAATTTGAGAGACCAGAGCTAGCTCTCTGAGAAAGAAGCATTTGACCTAAGGATGAGAGGAGTTAGCCAGGAGAAGATGGGGGAAGAACTTGACTGGGAACCAACCAGTGCAAAGGCCCTGAGGCAGGGAAAACCTTGCCACATTCAAGAACTAGAAAGAGGGCCTAGCCACATGACTGAAAAGTGAGAAGGGAGCAGAGAAAGCCAGAGGCAAGGTGGTCAGTGGAGCAGGAAGGGCTCAGATCATGTAGGGCCTTATAGGCCAGGTCAGAGTTTTATTCTAAAATGCCCTGGGAAGACAGTGAACAGATCATACGCATTTAGGAAACATTGGCCAAGGAGCATACATGTCATGCGTTGAGTGCAATGTACCAAGCATTGTGTTTATGCTTTTTACACAGGATCATGTGTGTAATGGAGGAACACAAATGATTGCAATTTACAGCCACAGTGACCTTGAATGTAGTCCCCTTTTGTTCAACCAAGTTGCTAAATGGCTTTGATTTACCAAAGTGGGCCTGGAGCTGAGTTTGGAATCTGGAACTGAGGAACACTGAATTGCTACATGAAATAGCAAGAATCATTTGGAGCTGCTTTTGGGAACCTGGAAAAGAAGGAGTTGAGGAGGAGACAGTGAATGAGAGAGACCAGTAAGAATAGCTTGGGTGAAGAAGCCAGTGAACATTCCAGAGGTAGGGCCAGAGGATTTTTATGAACAAAGGGATCTGCTACTTTCATTCAAAATACTTAGATTTGTAAATCTCCCTCCTTCCTTTCTGTCCTCCATTTCTTCCACATAAGCAGAGCTTGAGAAGGTGATTCTGGTTCAAGTGGCTTATTGGAGAAGTGCCTCAGGAGAAAGGAAGTAAGAGAACAGGATGAGGTGGGGGGAAAGCTAAGGAAAGATGTGGTCAGAGCTGGGGACTGGCTTTGGTTTAACGCTGGGCAGGGCTGGGGGGGGCGTGGTACTCTGGAGAACAAATTATATCCAGAATTTGTCTCATCCTACGACAAGGGGACAGGCCTTCTGTCTGCCATGTCAGTCAGTATTGGCAGTCCAGCACAATTCCCCAGTGAAGGGGGCATCTGTGAGCTGTCAACAGCCCACAGCCACACAAACTGCGGGATGGCCTCACAGGCTGGTAAAAACCCTGAGCGGGGTACTTTCAGCATCCACCACCATGTGCTCCACATGGTTTTGAAGGGCTCCCAAACACCCGAACATCTATGGCTGTGGAAGGGGCCTGTGAAGAACTGAGGAAAGGGATGGATTTCACTTTTGGGTCGGATGATGAAATAACACACTGAACTGACTCGGCAAAACAAGAGTCAGAACCACATGTCAGAGCATGAGATTGTGTGTGGTCTCCCCCTCCCCCACTGTGCGCAACATCCTAGGAGAGAATCAGATTTCCACAAGACTTAGAGTGGGGCTTCTGGTGCCAGCAACCTAGCTAAGTCTCATGACGACCCAACAAGTTCTGTACCCCCATTTCACAGATAAGAAAACCGAGGTGCAAACGGGGAAGATAACATGACATTGTAAATCCAAAGTAGAATGAGGGTTTGAATAAAAGCAGTGGCATAGGGATGCAGAGGAAAAGAGGGAAGGGAGACTTACATTTTTTGAAGGCCTTCTTTGTACCAGGTTCTATGACACAGGAGCACCCTGTGTGCAGTTAATCCGTGACCAATTCATTTAGTCCTGGAAATCATCCAGAGAGAGTTATTGCCTCACTGTAAGGCTCAAGACAATGAGGCCTTCGTAACAAGCCCACTAGTTGCTGCCCAGTACCCATTCTCTCCTTCCTTATAACAGAATCCCAATTTCTTTTTGTGCAGCAATGTGCCTGGTTAGAAAACTTTGCCCCCCACTGGCTAAACTTGGAACAATTTGAGCAATTACAGCAATTTGACAATTTGAGCTTATAACATACTAATTTTTTTAATTTATTTTATTTATTTATTTGTTTTAAGATTTTATTTATTTGTCAGAGAGAGAGAGAGAGACAGAACACAAGCAGGGGGAGAGGCAGGCAGAGGGAGAAGAAGGCTCCCCGCCAAGCAAGGAGCCCGATGCGGGACTTGATCCCAGGACCCTGGGATCATGACCTGAGCCAAAGGCAGCCACTTAACCGACTGAGCCACCCAGGCGTCCCTAACATACTAATTTTTTTAAAATCCAATAGTCCATGTGTTAAAAGAGAGAGGGTGGGGGAAAAAAGGAAAAACTTTACAAAAGAATGCCAGCAAATCAATGTGAGATTTTAAAAATCACCATTTTGCAAGCCTCAGCGAATTAACTGAATCAGGCAAAACTCATCAATGGATACTAAAGCCATTGAGTGAAAGTGGTTAGAGAACAGGATATTCAGGTAACCTGCAAGTTTCACCAGCGATTTCTTAATTATTACAAAAGGAAAACTGTATCACAATGACGAGACCTGGAAGTCACTTCCTTAAAGGGCCAAATTTAGCATACCAAGAGGAGGACAACCTGACTTGATGTCCCTTCCTGATGTGATGCGATAAGGAACACACACAGATCCAGTAGGGTATTGTTGTAAAAAATGTGTGACCTGAATCTAATCACAAAGAAACAATCAGGCAAATCCACCATGTGAAACCTCTTATGAAACAACTGTCCTGAACTCTTCCAAAAGGTCAATGTCATGAAAAACAAAACAAAGTTAAAAAAAAAAAACAGTTTAAAAGAGATGAAAGAAGCAGAACAATGAAATGCAACCGAGAATCTTGATGAGATCCTGGATAAAAATGACAACAGTAAAAACAGCAATGACGCTGTAAGAAGGGTACTTGGGATTGGAAAAGTTTTAGATATGGAACAAAGTCTTAGGCGACATTATTGAATTAATGTTTATTTTCTTGTTCCTGGGAGATGAATGCTGAAGTATTTGGGGGTGGAGTGTCATAGTTTCCACAACTTGCACTCAAATGTTTCAGAAAAAATGTTAATGATAGGTGAATCTAGGTGAAATATATATTAGAGTCCATTTTATTATCCTTCCACTGTTCCTATGGTTTGAAATTTTTCAGAATAATAAGTAAGAGGGAAATAAAATAAAATTCTGCACTTGGGGAAAAAATACTTCCCTCTCCAGGTTTCCTTGACTGTGGCATCACCTAGAAGTGGCCATGTGACATAGCTCGAGCTAAGGAGGCTCTTGAGCAGTGTGGTACCTGGAGAACAGCACAGGGCCTGAAGAGGGCAGTGAGATGTGACCATGTGAGGCGGGTGCAAGGCTGAGCCCCACCTCTATCTAGGCTTTTGCCCTGGGGCATGTTATTGAATATCTTTCCACCTTAGTTTTCTCATGGATAGAAGAGTGATGGGGAACATTACGCGGAATGCTTCCCCAGAGCTCGGCACTTTAGTGAGCTAAGTCAGTGATGCTATTATTATCGAAAGATTTTATTTTAGGAATTAATACCTCAGCAACGAGTATAGAGGGTGTGTTGGAGAGAAACTTGTGTGAGGTGGCTTCTCTTAGATTGGGTTCTCCACAAGCAAACAAGAGGAAAAGAAGGGCTGGTAGAGTAGAAAAGTAAGAAAAGTAATTTGCTTTGTCCATGTTAAAAGCCAAAAGGAAGCTTTCTCCTTAAGATCAGAAAAAAGACAAGGATGTCTGCTTTCGTCACTTCTATTCAATATTGCACTGGAGGTTCTAACCAAGGCAGAAAGATAAAAAAGTGAAAAAAAGTCATCCAGATTGGAAAAGAAGAAGTATCTCTATTTGCAGATGACATGGTCTTATATATAGAAATTCCTAAGGAGTACACACACACACTCAACAGAGCTAATAAGCAAGTTCAGCAATGTTTCAGGATATAAGGTCGATATACAAAAATCAGTTCTATTTCTATACACTCAGAATGAACAATCCAAAAATGAAATTAAGAAGATTCCACTTACGATATCATCAAAAAGAATAAAACACTTAGGAATAAATTTAACCAAAGATGTGCAAGATTTGTACCCTGAAAATTATAGAACATTGTTGTCTAGGAAGGGAGATGGAAATTGACAGGAAAATAAAATTTAGGGTATTGGTTACATGACATATGCATTCAGTAATACTCACCAAGCTATAAACTTAACATCTAGGCATTTTATGATATATAAATGATACCTCAATAAAAGTCTAAAATATTTTGGGGGCGTTAACACCATAATGTTTCATGTCTCACTTGGGCAAAATGTGGGTGGGCAGGACTCGGCAATCCTGACTATCAGAGCTCCACCATGCTTTAACCACACCATCTGGAACACTGGCTTCTTTGGTCAACTTAACAGGGCAAGAATGGGCCTCATTTACAACTCAAAA